CGGGGTAGATAATGCTCAAGCAACTCATTTTTACTCGTAAATGATTTTGAAGACTTTAGATTTTTTTGGAATTCAAGTTTGTCTCGAAAAAGAATTCGTAGCGTGGTTTCCCTCCTTTCAATATCTTGGATGTGCGCAGCGAAAATTATGGCTCACCAAACAAATGTCCTTGAGGTCATGCTAACTTGAAATTTTTTTGTCCCACCCCACTCCCTCCAAAAAAATTCCCGAACCGTCGCCGCCGCCCAACATCTCTGGTCTAATGCATTGCATAGAACTCTCAAGCATGTTCTCAATAGTCCGACTTCCAATCAGCAAGATACTGGTAATTAGAATTTGAACATGTGAAAAGAATTTAAGGTACATGTAAGAATACCTGAATACATATTTGCCAGCCACCATGTTATCCAGTGTGAGAATAGGTGTGTTCATAGCTGGGAGTGGTATGCTAGGTCCTTTGTCTTGAGTCCATTTGTAAGAGACAATCTTGTCGTCATCGATGCTGCCTAAAAAGTGGAAGTTCAATTTTGCACTCTCTCCCGTTATAAAATGCGTTACCTTCCGCATCTAGAGTCAATCTAGAGCCCTCTACTCCATGGACAGGCGATTCGGGACGGATGATGGCTTTTGGAGGTTTGTTAGGTGCTTTGGGTGAAGCTACACTGAGTGAGTACGTCTGCTGACCAGAGTGTGTTTTGTTAGCAACAGTGACGCGAAATTGCATATTTCCAGGTTTCAACTAAAATGGAAAATATCAAAAATACAAAAACACCAAGCGATTTTTTGTATTAGCTATAAGAATCAAAGAGTAAATACTAACCTGTGATAGTTCTAGTACAGAGCGTTTGTATGATGAAGCAAAAGCAAGTCCCGAGCCCTGCAGGAGTTCCCATAGGTATGTATAATTTTGCTCTAGAAACGACTTTATAATTGAAGTACTGGAAAAAATTGGATACCTTTAGAAGAATCTTCATCTAAAAGCACTACTTTCGCAGAAACAGAATCTATGGGCAACTCCACAGTGGTCGGACCATCAACAAAAAATTTTATGGCACTCTGAAAATGGACCCTTAGAACTTGTCGTTTTGAGCAGCAAAAGCAGACTCACTGATGAAGGGGTTGTTGAGGTTTCTTCTGTAAAATTTGAGATCTTTGAGATCGATGTGTTAGAGTTTAGTGGAAGGCATGGTGCACCACGTAGCTCCCGGTGGTATCCAGCCATGCATACACAGATACCAATCTAGATATTAGGAAATATCAGTGCATTCTTGAAGTAACAAAATTCAAAATAATTCCTGCTCTCTTAAGGCAACAAACCTGCTACCAAACACGATTAATCGCGTAAT